CACCGGATACTGCCATCACAGGTACTAGGCCTGTGGTGCCAAAACCACTGGTAGGAGTCCCACCAAAGCTACAAGTTTTTGTCTCGCGGCTAGCCCCTGACCTCACATCCAATGTTGTGACCGCTTTTATACAAAGCAAAATAAAAGCCGTCGGCTTAAAGGTGGAAAAATTTAACTTTTCTTACGCCAGGGAGGGAGTCCGATCAGGGAGTCCGATGATCCTATTGGGCTTTGAGGTGGCTCAGAGGGGGCCTAGCTGTGGCCACCGGACGGGTCGCAGGTTGCGGATAGCGAACGGCCTACCCTAGTGGGTAGGTCAGCTGCGAATAAGCGGGCATCCCAAAGAGTAACAACTAAGTTGGCTCTGAGGGAGAGTACCGAAATAAGCAGTCCCGGACAGCCAGCGGGTGTTCGCGACGCAGCAACACTGACGATGCGCTTGTGGTGCCGCCTCTCATTAAGTAGCTCACACAATCCCATCCCTACACAATACCTACCCACATCCCATCCCCAACACTCACCTCACACCGGGCCGGACTAAGGTGTTACTCGACCCGTGCCAAGAGTCAGCCTGGCTGGGGGCCCGGTATAAAACTAGCCCAGTCGTGAACGGAGAGCTCAGGGACTTGGCAGCCCCCTGTTCTAATTATGCCTTACCCGGGTAACGCAGAGCTCTGCCGGGGTGGACCGTTCCCCTTCTCTGCAGCTCGTGGGAAATTTATGGACAAATACGAAAATATAGACAACAAAAAAAACAAAAACGAGAGAGGCACTCCCCAAATGCCTGCAGGGAGAAATCCCAAGCGGGAGAAGGCAGCGGCCCAAAGGCCTGGCCCGATCCGCTCAGACGCAGGAAAGACCTGCATGGCGAAGGACGCGGGTATGAATCCGGGTGGGTCCCATCCCAAACCTGGGATGGGTGGAAAGCCAACACCCAAAACGGATACCATGGTAGGGCAGCTAAGCAATATTGCGGCTGCTCAACCTTCCGGTGAAGCAGCGGGTGATGGCTTGCCATCAACCAGTGTCCAAACCAGAAAATACAGCTATGCCGAAAAGAGGAGTGCTGGGCACATACTCCGTCGGTAGAACGCCAGCCAGGAAGTCAGTCCAACAGCAGACTGGCTGAAAAAAGTGGAATGGGCCTCGACGGTGTTGCCCAACTTCAGTGTGGAGCCACAGAAGGTGGCCGCACAACCGAAGAGGCAGCGCTCTCAAGAGACGCCCGGACCTGCCGCGAAGCGCTCTAGGGTGTTACCAAACGTATCCTTCGCGCAGATTGCCAAGGAGAGGACGCTGATAGGCGTTCTCGACAAAGGCAGCGCGGAGGGGAAAATACCCAAAAGCCAATGGAAGTGGGTGGAAGCGGCACTGGCCGACCGCTGCTTCGAGCTTCTCGAGAAGGATCCCGGGCCACCCCCAGTCTGCAAAGACATGGGATGGTTCCAGGGAGCATCAAGGTGGTAGCCTGCGAGGATGAGCGATCCGTAAAGCTATACAAAGCTGCGGTGGCGCAAATCGGTGAGGTCTATGCCGGGGCAAAGCTCGTCGCTGTGGACTGGAGCGAGGTGCCCAGTAGGCCAAGGGCCCGTATATGGGTACCGGCCACTTTCAAGGAGCCCGAGCGGATCCTCACGATGTTGCAGAGATGCAACCCCACACTGCCAACCTCAGATTGGAGGGTGGTCAAAGTGGAGGCATCAAAGGGCCCCACAAATCAGGCAGTGGTAGTCCTAAATAAGGAATCGCTAGCCCCGATAGAAGCATCCAAGGGAGAGCTCAACTTTGGGTTCAGCTCGGTGACCATGAAGGTCTACAAGTCGGATGCAGCGGCCGAGGCGCGTTCTGTCAACAACCCAGTTGAGCAGGACGTTGCCTCGGAGATCGAGGCACCCGAAGTAGACCCGGAGCCGGAGCCGGCCCTGGAGAGCTACTCCTCGGAGACGGAGCTGATGCTCGATTTTGAGGCGCTGTGTCGGGACGATATCCTCGACGACTCTGACGCCGATATAACAGTGGTGGAGAATGATTCCAACGAAGTCTCTGAGGCTTCTGCAGATAAATCTCCACCACTGTAAAGCAGCATCCGCTGCCCTGATACTCCGCTTAGTCGCAAGCGGAGGGGACATAGTCCTAATCCAAGAGCCCTGGGTGGTAGGAGGCAGGGTCCGTGGATTAGCGACGAAGGACTACAAGCTGATTGTAGCCCAAACTGAAGGTAAAATAAGAACCTGCATTTTAGCAAGAAAGCACCTAAATATCTTTCTGCTCCACAATTTTAGCAATGGCGATAATACGGCAGCTAGCCTAGAGCTACAAGGGACACGCCTAAACCTGGTGTCGTCCTACATGGCTCACGAGGAAAGCGATCCTCCCAGTGACCTCGTTCGCAAGATAGCCAGCGACAGCCTAAGCCTAATATTAGGCTGCGATGCCAACGCTCACCACACCCAATGGGGGAGCTCGGATACAAATGTAACTTTTCAGCTTCATACTAAACTCCAACCTAGTTATTGGTAATCGGAGTAATGACCCCACATTCATTATAAAAAACCGTCCAGAGGTTATTGACCTCACTCTATTGTCTCAAAAACTGTCAGACATAATGAAGAGTTGGAGAGTCCTAGAGGACCACTCCTTCTCCGACCACAGGTACATCGAGACAGTCCTATCGCTCGAAAGCACCAAACCTACTAACTATATTAACCCCAGGAAAGCCAACTGGGATATATATAGTGCAAAAATGGAGGAATTATCCCCCCTAGCACCAAAATGCCCGGACACACAAGACGATCTTAATCGTCTTGTAGACAGCTTCACGGAAGCTTGCAATAAGGCCTTCGTGGCAGCTTGCCCCTCAACCAAACCAAGAGGGAAAAGAAACCCCCCTGGTGGTCTAAACAAATAGATACCCTCCGGAAAGACTGCAGGACTCTCTTTAACAGAGCCAAAAGCAGCAGCGAGGAAGCGCACTGGGAAAATTACAAAGGTAAATTAACCCTATACAAAAAAGAAACTAGGAGAGCAAAACGGGCCTCTTGGCAAAAATTTTGCTCCGAAATTGAAGACACGTCAGAAGCCGCAAGGCTACGCAAGATCCTGTCAAAAACATCACCCTCGGTGGGATATCTCAAGAGAATGGATGGTACGTGGAAAAACTCTAGTGAGGACTCCCTACATATTCTACTCGATACTCATTTTCCTGGGTGCACGACCATCGAGCCGGCAGACACCCCAAGTAAAGGCCCGGAAACCTCGATGGTGCACATCCTCACAGAACGGAATATTAGCTGGGCAGTAAACAGCTTTAAATCCTTCAAATCGCCTGGCCCGGACCAAGTCATTCCGGCTCAGTTACAAAAAGCCGGGGACATTGCCATCAACTGGCTGCAAAGTATCTTCAGGAAGATACTGACAGTCGAAAAAATGTGTCATGAACCCAAGAATAGTCCAATGGATATACCTAGCAATAGTAAGACCAATCTACTCTACGGAGTCGCAGTGTGGTGGCCTGCCCTATCGAAGGGGACCATCACTAAACAACTGGGCAAGGTGCAGCGCACTGCAGTCCTATGCATCAGTGGAGCTCTGAGCACCACACCATCGGATGCGCTAAATGATATCCTATGCCTGCAGAGCCTTGACCTTGCAGGTAAGGAGCATAAGAAATGGCAGCAGTCCGTCTTAGAGACTCTGACCAATGGGTGTCACATCACACCGGCCATGCGTCCATCCTAAATGGAAACAAAATCGTCCCCACAAAAACGGACTACTGCGTTCCGAGGGAGTATACAGATACAGATTCGTAACAATCATCCCTCACAGAACCAACTGGCTCGAGGGACCACCTGGCCCAGATGGAGCCATTCAAATCTTTACTGATGGCTCAAAGCTGGACAACAAAGTCGGAGGAGGAATCCACTCCGAACATCTGAATATAAGACACTCTTTCAGGCTCCCAGATCACTGCAGTGTCTTCCAAGCGGAAGTCATAGCGATCAGGGAAGCTTTGAGCTGCCTTCAGGAACGTGCCGTGGCAAACTGTCGCAAATCTCTCCATGAGATGGCTTATCAGTTTGTCATCAGCTTAATATGGGTCCCGGGCCACCAGGACATTGAAGGTAACTGTATAGCAGACGAGCTGGCCAGAGCTGGTACAACAATCCCCCTTCTCCATGATAAGGAGGATATTCGTATGCCAATGGCCACCTGCAAGCTCAAAATAAAAGAACATTTTAAGCGACTAATGACTAATGACAGATGGCAAAGAGTGCCACTATGTCGCATAACTCGGCAAACATGGCCTAACATTACTAGGAAGCGCACCGATGAGCTTTGCAAACTCAGTAGGAGCAGGTGCAGCTCAGTCATACCCTCCCTTACGGGACATTGGCTAATAGGCACCCATGCAAACAGGCTGGGTGCCCCCTATAACGACTTCTGTCGGAGATGTAGAGATGAGGACGAGGAGGAGACTGTGGAACATCTGTTCTAATCCTGTCCGGCTCTCAGTAGAAGGAGACTTCAATACTTGAGCGCACCTTTCCTAATTGACATTTCGGACATGCTTCATTCATAAGGGCATCCGGATGGAACAATGGATAACATAGTGTCTCACGAGGGAAGAGGGAACGATCTATGCGGTATCACAATGGGCCGAAACCGGCCTAGGTGTGTCGGGTCTCTGACGATCCCGACAGCTGCCTCAACCTAACCTACAATATCAACGCAGCGAAGATCTTGGTAGGCTATTGCGCAATCGTATTCGAAAGAAGAGCGATTCAAGTCTACTGGTCGAATTTAAAGTGGTAGTTGTGCAACGCGAACCTGATTAATAGAGATATTCCGATTACTTATTTCACGACGTGTACGTCGTCCCGTCGGCCCAACCGTCCTAAAAATCTATTTTTTTCGTGATCGATGGTTTTTCTAACGTAAATATATTCTTCTGGCAAATACAAACAACTGAATAAAAATGAATGAATGAACCCTTTCTTTTCTTTTTTATTTTTATAAAAAACGCATTTATTCAATATTTACGTCGTTGGCTTGTATATAACTGTTTCATTCTCCTTTCTGCAGGCACTTATTTTTAAAAACATTTTGAACAAACTAAAGTTGTAAGCAGCAAACAAAAAAATTGTGCAGAATTGTTGATTTAAGTACTAAGCTTAACAAGTAAACAGAACAAAGTTTCTATCAGAAACAGAAATAATCCAAAACGTACATTCTAAAAATTATCGTGTATTTTATTTGAGGCCATTTCTAAGACATGGTACTATTTCTTTAGCCCAGTCCATATATATATCTGTGACTTGCCGAAGAAAGTTACTATCAGTCTGAATCATTTGAGTAAACAATATACATTTGGGCTTGTACTTTAGGTGAAAAACACTTGAAGGGTGAATTTTTGCCTTAAGATGTCCGGAATAAGTTAAGTAAGAACCATCCTTTTGCAATGTAGCAATATTCTCAAAAAATCCCTTTAAAAGACATTTTTTAAACGATTCAATGTTTTCGGAGTTGTTTATAGTCAGGCCCAATCGCAGGCTTATATCTGACAACTGGCGACAAACGTTACGAGCGTATATTAGACAGCGATAATTTAAATAATTGTCGTGACACCACACCTAAAAAATATAAAAACAAACGAAATAAATTTATAAATCTAAATTAAAATATAAGTAGTAAGTGCTTCTTCTTACCTTTGGCTTTTCAGCCTTTAAAAATAAATTAAAAACATTCAGCAGAGTTAAATGATCTCCATGCTTAGAGTGAAACTTGGCATGGGCAAGTGTAGCCAATTCACTTTTAGAGCTGCTTGAAACAAAAACATTATCACTCGAAAGGACAGAAACTAGACGTAGCATTTCCTCCATACAACCAAACGATGAAGCTGATGTTAATAATTTAGAATATTTTGGATCTAATGGATACTGGGACATTAAACGACCTAGAGGCGTAATATATGATATAGGTCCATATTCAATAGCCCCAAGACCATCCAAACTTCTATATGCACTAGTCAGTGATTCATCTAATGGAGTATCTAAAAAATCAAAATTATTGCAGTCTACATCCATAGCCAAAAGTTGAAGCACTGTTGATGTCGGATTTGTTCTAAGAATTTCCGGCTGAGTCGAGTTCATAAAAGAGTCCATTTCGCCTTTTGTATATGCCCGGTAACATATTCCAGATGCATCACGACCTGCACGCCCAGTACGTTGCCATGCTTGTGCCCTTGATATTCTAACGGTTTTTAAAATATCAATTCCGTCAATGGAGTTAAAAAATTTTTCTTTTACAAATCCACAATCGATGACGCAGCGTATACCAGGAATGGTAATCGACGTTTCAGCTATATTTGTGGCTAAGACAATTTTCCGTATATTTGATGGACCCGTTAAAAAACATTCCAGCTGCATGCTATGTGATAATTGCGCGTACAGTGTATAGACACGAAGATTAGTAGGTCCATTTATATCCATCTGAGAAAGAAAAATAATAATGATATATTTTAACTATTTTTATATTAGTATTATAACATCTCCATATATAACAAGAAGGAACGTTGTGAGTATGTTTCGAGGACGCGACTCTACTTTTATACCCGTAATCAGTCAGTATATAAATATGTGAGCTTATGATTTATGTAGAATTTTAAAAAAATATTACACATTTAAAATTTTTTTTTCTACATCTGTTACATCTTCTCCGCAAAGGTCGCGCATTGCACAGAGCAGTGTGTGAAATGCACTTGTGCAGTATGATATCACATGAGTCTGGAAACAAAATATGGTGGCTCTAGCTCTTATAGTCTCTGAGAACAAGGCGACAAACAAGACGCACGGACGGACGGAGGGACGGACGGACGGAGAGACGGACGGACGGAGGGACGGACATACGGACAGACATCGACTCGTCTATTGATGCAGCTCAAGAATATATATAGTTTATCCTTCTCTGCGTTACACACATAAAATTTTACCGAAAATCAAATGTACCCCTTAACTCTACGAGTACGAGTATAAAAATCTCGTGTCACGATGTTTATGGTTATGGTCGTATATTATGTCATAAATTGTTTTCCAACTTCATATCGCCACCCATTAACCTTTTATCGCGATTTTAGTGTTTTTGGATCAAGTAATGCTTTAAATTACACTAGTCAACACGATTTTTCCTCAAGGAACAAAACGAACTTTTTCTTAAAGATTTGGGGCTTAGAAATGGTTTGATGATATTTTTTTTTTCTATGGCAGAACTTTTTTTTAAAGAATTTTTTAAAACTGGTATTTTGTTTTTAGCTTTTTTCAGAGGTAGCGCTTGTTTTTTTCACATAACTCTAGTATCTTACGTCTGGTTGTAAAGAACTTTGCTATTTTGAAAAGATAATTGAAACAGCTAAAAGTTGATGCCAAACACTTTGTGATTTCAGCTTACCGTCTGGGAAATATAAAGCATTGAAATGCAAAAATTATGATTTTTGTGGGGTATTTTTTACGAAATTTTGACTTTAAAAACTCAGGAAAAGTCGAAAAAAAATTATATCTTGTGTCCTCTATTTTTGTGTATAGGTGCGTTAATTAGGCGTCGTTTAAGGTATCGCTCATTAAAATCTATGGAGAGACTTTGGAGCTAAAATTCGTTAACCAAACCTAAAATATGGAAAAAATGAACAAAAAATACATTTTGAAGCGGCGCCAACTGCCAATTGGGAACAAAGCAAACGAACAAGGGTTGTACATTTGGTACTTGATCGCGATCCTTTGTTCCCAATTGGCAGTTGGGCCCGCCGCCTTCAAAAAGGTATAAAAAATACCCCACAAAAATCATCATTTTTGCATTTCAATGCTTTATATTTCCCAGACGGTAAGCTGAAATCACAAAGTGTTTGGCATCAACTTCTAGCTGTTTCAATTATCTTTTCAAAATAGCAAAGTTCTTTACAACCAGACGTAAGATACTAGAGTTATGTGAAAAAAACAAGCGCTACCTCTGAAAAAAGCTAAAAAAAAAAAATACCAGACTTCAAAAATTCTTCAAAAAAAAGTTCTGCCATAGAAAAAAAAACCATAATTCTTTAAAAAAATTTAAAGCCCCATATCTATCAGAAAAAGTCGGTTTGGATCCTTGAGGAAAAAAAAGTTCGATTTTGTCGAGTAGTGTTATTTGTCAGTGTGTTTTATGGTGTATATATGTGTGTTTAAACTCTTCCCAGTGTGTCAGTGTGTTTTGTGTCATAATGTAATATTTGTCGGTGTGGCGTTGTTTTTACGTGTGTTTACGTTTTTTGTGAATTTTTGTCAATTTGGTGTTTTATACAGTCAACAATGCCAGCAAGACGCAAGCAGTCCCAGTTCGACCATCTAACAAATAATGAAACATTTATGCGGCATTGTAGAGCAAGCGAACGCATCGAAGAAGATAACGAAAATGTGCGTAAGGGCATGTCGCAATAAAATCAGAAAATTACCGAAGACGCCAACAAGTACATAGAGCATTCACACCCTAATGGATCTACCCCTTAACTATTTTTTGAGTACGGATATATAAAAAAAAACGAAATTGAATTTAGAACCTATGTTTCAGGTTCTACATGTGTCTTGAGGTTTTATATCAAGTTTCAAAAAAAATTTATTTTTCTTACGGCCTTACACGCAGAGCAAAAAGTAAAAAGTTGTTCTGGACTGATTCTATACGGGCCTGGTGTACTTTGTACTGGGGGCACCATAAAAAAGAGCCGTACTCTAAAATCGGACGAACAGGCTAGATAGAGAGTCTTCGTTATATAGGGATCGTCAAACTCCTTTGACTACCGACTACCTAAACCTATGGCCCATGCCCTTTTTTACCATGGTAGAAATGTGTTCAGAAAACTTTAACTTGGGGTCTAGTTTAACACCAAGATCAACCAAGGTAATTCTCTCAAGAGAACCACCACAGAGGCTTTAAGGAGCCAAAAAGGGGCTGGAGCGATGAAATGTTATTACTATGCATTTCGAGGCATTTAGGTGTAACATATTTTCACAACACCAAGACTAAAAGTTATTGAGATCGGATTGCAAGCGAGAGTGAAATGAAATGTTCTATACTGGACACAGAGTTTAACATCATCCTCATATATGAGTGCTCGAGAGTTTGTTAATAATGATGGCAGGTTATTATAAACAGTGGGAATAGTTGGGGTACTCCAGAAGTAACCTTAACGGGTGAAGAGAAGGAGTTTTTGAAGAGGACTCTTTGAGACCTAGAAAGAAGGTAGCTAGAAATCCATCTCAAAATATTAGGCGGAAACCCAAAAAGGTCAAGTTTTTTTTGCTAGAAGGGAATGGTTTACAGAATCGAATGCTTTACTGAAATCAGCGTAAATGACATCCGTGTGCAAGTTACCTTAGAAGCCTTTAATGATAAAAGAGGTAAACTCTAATAAATTTGTGGTTATTGCTCGTCGCCTAATAAATCCGTGCTGAGATGGAGATATAAGTGATTTGCAGAAATGTTGCAAATGCCGAGTTAAAATGAAGCATGAAGCTTCAGTGAAGCAGTGATCTTTCATTTAACAAGGAGCTGAAAATGCCGTTCGACCTTAGTAAACTGAATGGATACGGCTGACCAGAGTAGCTTTCATGAGAATAGGTTGTTTGGAATAATTTGGCAAAAAGATCGGCAATTGCCTGATCATTGTTTGCTGACATATTAAGAAATGATAGCGAGGATGGATGTGCGGACGTTCTACGCTTACTATTTACGAAGCTGTAAAACTATTTAGGGTCCTGTGAAAATCGTATTCTGCATCGAGATAGGTAGTTTTTAAAGCATTGAGCGTTAAGAACGGAGAAATTTGACCGAGCTATTACAAAGTGAGAAAGAGAAAAGGGAGAACCAACTTCACGATTTTAGTCTTGATTTTAAGTTTTTTTATCTACTGGATAACTCTTTGGTAAACCAAGGAAGCTTCCCAGATCTAACCGGACAAGAAAGTGGGACACAAGAATCAAAATGTGTCAAGTACATGGTAAAAAATGTTTGTGCCTTTCATAACGTCAGTGCACAAGTACAGAGCGGACCAATCAAAATCCCTAATGAGGTTCTTAAGCTTCGTAAACTCGGCTTTACGAAAGCAGCGGACACGTTTAGATCCAATACAGTAGGCCCAATATCGACCAACACTTCGAATGCAGGATGGTAGGAGTCTTCAGGTATAGTGAGCGGAAGGGCTCGGGTTAGCAACGCTATGGTCGGATCCGAGACAAAGCACAGATCAAGCAAGGAATTTTTCACATGGGTGACTTGAGGCAAGGATAGGTCTAGCAAGCCGTCGATAAAATCATGTCGTGACATGGGCACAAGATTATTAGACTCGTTTACCGAAGACCAAACAGTACCTGGAAAATTGAAATCACCAAATAGCGATAGCGAGGAAGAAACAGTTTTTAAAGCGGGCAGGTGATGCTCGTATATTAAGGTGGAATATACGAGCAAGTAATGAAAATGAAAAAGCCTGGGAGAATTAGTTTTACGCACAGCAATTTCAGGTCTTGTTGAACCTGGACTATAAAATGTTCCAACGTGAAGTTTGAGTCCACTGCAATTAGGACCCCACCTCCACATCGCGACGAACGGTCATTTCTAAAAATTGTGTACCGACCTGCCAAAACTTTGCAACTACGGATGTCCGGCTTTAAATAGGTCTAACTAAGATAAGATACATTTTTCACCCTCTAAAATGTAATATATTTCACTACGGGTAGCGTTAAACAAAAAAACCGAACGGAAGCGCGAATTTACGACGAATGGGATTAATGGCTCTTGCTACAGCTTAGCATTTCGTAACAAAATTATTTTCCAGGTATGGAAGTATGTAGTAGTCAGTATGTAGTTCTTCATTGCCATTAAATGTTACCTATCTTCCACAAACTGTGTCCTGTTCTTAAGGTTCTCAATGGGATTTAGGTTAGGAATTAATTCCGGCCAGTTCAATACCAGCCTGTAAAGACGCTTTGGGTTACACGTACACCGTCTAAGGTGCGCGAAAGAAGTCACCCTACAAACATAAAAACCCTTATAAAATTTTCAAATTTCCAAATTTTTAAATTTTGTTAAAGTCAACAAAATAACAAGTCAAACGAGAAGGAACGTGTGAGTCCTTCTAAAGACGCGACTCTACTTATACCCGTACTCAGTCAGTATTTACATTTTTGAACATATGATTTTTTAGAATTTTAGAATTAAAAAAAAAAAATTTTTGCTACATCTGTTATCTACATCTACATATATTATGTATATTCTACATCTAACATGTAGATTATACATGTACCATTTAGATTCTACATCTCCTCCGCTAGGGGTTGCTCGCGCACTGAACGCGGCAGAGTGTGCGAGCGAGATGGAAAATGAGTTGTGTTGTCGTTGGCTGGAGGGGGCAGGGGAAGCAACTGAAAATTAATTTCGTCATTCTGGCTATAATTATGATCCGATCTGATTC